CCAGGACAGAGTGTGTTGGAGAATGCTGGTTGGCGGCCTATGCTCCATTGGGGGTAACAGGCGTAAGTAAATAATTAAGTAATAATGCCAAAACTCTATTTAGCCAAATGGATGAATGAATGAACAGTGTTTACAAACATCTAAAATATGATGAAAAATGCGATGTAATTAATGTATGTGTTGAAACAGCATGAAATATGAAGTGTCATTTTACCAACATTTCATTAAATGACTAAAACAACATTACTTTTCTCAGAAGATTGTCTTCATTACAGTATAACTGCAGCTGCCAGAAAAAAAGCCGTTACAACTAAACAACTGTTTCTTCGTCATCGTTAGTAGTTTAGTGATGTATTGACATTTAATTTTAATTTCAGTGAATCAACCGTAAATCTACGTAATTATCCTTTACTAGTTACGACAATTCATTAGAGTCTAAATTTTATGGAGTCTACTGGCTTTCATTTGTTTTTCTGTAAAATCAATATCTACGTACTAGTCCATGAAGCTTTTTAAATTTGTATTAAACACAATGGAAATAACTTGGTGATTTTATCATTATACTTCAACTAATCAGAAAAGAGAACCTGTACACAAGTTCTGTAATGTGATGTGTTAAAGGAAAGTGGTTTTATGGGGCTAATCAGTTTTCAAAGACTTAATTATCAGTTAACTTATTCTAATATTGGAGACCTTTACTATAGATTCTGGATCGTTTTTTTAGTCGTAGGTAAATGTATAGAAAATTACCTGTCTACCACAAAACCTTTCATAATAAATTCACTGATGTTTTGGCAACATAGGGATATCAGCCATCATATGTAATGAGTTGTACATGAACATTACGGTTTATTGTAGCATTCTCATACTCGTTATTCAATGGATTAATAATACTTACAACGTTTTCTACATGTTGTATAACATACAAATATAATCTCACATAACATTCTAAAAGTTATTTTCTATATTCTGATTGACTCGGCTATATGGGATAGTTACTTAGTTACTAGTTTCATTAAACAAAACAGTTTCCTGCATAAATTTAGTTTGAACTAGTGTTTGAGCATATCAACAATGATAAAAGCATAGTATACTGACGATCTTGTGTTAACCAATCAGAATTAAGGTAACGCCTCATGCATTTAACTTGAAGTTTAAAGTTCAGTGAAAAATAACATGTCTGTTATTATTAACAAAGTGGAAATTAGAAATACCAGAATATGAATTTCAAACGATGATTCAGCTGAATTACATAATATACCTGCTTCTTAGCCAGATTTTATGTTAAAATACATGATCTCGGTGATTGTGTAATCAAGTGTTTAGCGAAGCTGGATGGTAATCTTTTATGACACTCGCTCTCAACCTCAACCCTGAGTTCCTCAAGTTTGTGAACAAAAAGATGGGAAATCGTTGAATTATAACTGATATCAGTCCGTGTTCACAATCCAGACCCGAATTTGTTAACATAAATCAAAACTGTAGTTTAACTCTTAATGCCGAACACTAACATTTTTGTGTTATGACTTAGGTTAGTTAGTAGAGAAGACTCTATGAGGTGATAACACTAGCCCGACTTTTAATATGTATTTAAATGTGTAACCCCCTTCCTTTACGAAAAGAGATAATTTGACTTATGAGGTTTAATTACTACAATACAAGTTGTTATTCTTCTGTTATTACACTACTAGTTATTGTTAAATGTTTCATAACTAAGCAGTGCTTCTTGATCGGCTGATAAGTCACCGACGGTTGTCAGTATATCATAATTTCAACTCAATAACATAGTGCTTCTGAAGTTATTCATTACCATAAATTGAGATCATTGATGATTGAATTTCATATCAGACTGTTTAGACCACATTGATAGACTTATTATTATTACTGTTACTAAACTTTACTACTATGGAGACAATTTTATTTATGACATGAATTCTGATGTTTATTTAATTATAGAATCTTAATTAGTGTTTATATTAGATATCAATTTACTTAATTACAAATGATAAAACCCTTTTTGGATTATTTTATGTAGACAATTTAATTACATTTTTGTATGTTCCGTTTGTAAAATGAAATTTGGACGAGACTATAATTTATGGACGAACCAATCAGATTTACTATAACAGATCTTGGATTTTGGCGCGAAATTCATTCACCCATTTGGCTAAATAGAGTCTTCGGATTATAGCTAATGTCAGTTCGTGATGAAAACCCTAAATCTAATTCCTAACCCTAACTATCAACTGTAAATCTTGATACTTATTCTTCAAACTGCCATAAATCCCTCATTTAGCCATAGTAAGTAAGTAGACACTTTCAAGGTCACTGTAGCGTCACTCAAAGGTTGTCCATAAATTATAGTCTCACCAAAATTTGTATCAGAAGAAGGTTTGTGGAGATTAATCGAATTTTACAATTTTTTTAAACTTTCACTAAACGTAGAATGATTTTCACTACTTGAATGAATTCGATAGATGTCGATAGTGCTATGAGAAGATGAAGGTCTTTAGAATTATGTGATCTATTTGCGTAATACATTTCGAACAATCTGATCACATATAATATACTTGTTAACACATTTTAATATGAAAATTATAAAGGTCGACTAGACAGGTTAATGGTAAACCGTAAAAAAGATGCTCAGTGCTGAGAAGTCCCACAATAGAGCACACCGGCCGTCCAGTGTTTCCAGGTTTTCCATGGTAGTCTAGTTTCAATTGACTCATGGTCTCAACTATTGAAATTACTATAATATTCACGAAAACCCCTTCTGATATTAATCAACATATGCTCACTAATGACTGGCCTCATGATGTATATCCTGAAGTTCTAATGAGAAGCAGTGACCATTGGAAATCAACCGGGTCAGTTGTGAGATAGTAACTCAATGATGACAATGGTGGATGTGTTGCTCAATTTCGTTAATCAGTTGACGTTTGACATTAACTCCATTGGATGTCTGCCGGATCAGTGGTGTAGACGTTAAACGTTCACGCGCGAGACTGATTGTCTTGGATTCGAGTCTCATGTGTGGAATGGTGGATGCTCACTGCTCGGTAGTCTCATACTAGAATGAAAAGGCTGTCCAGTACTTCCAGATTTTCCGTGGTGGTCTAGCTTTAATTGACTCATGAATTTAACTATCAAATTATTACAATCTCCAGAAAACCCCTTCTGTTAATAATAAATTACACAAAAACAATGTGATAACCACTCTGGATAATAAATCAGTATTACGAGTGTGAGTTAAAAGTAGGAACAAATATTTTTTAAACACATAATGGTGGCTTCAGTTTCCGTATGGCTAAGGCTTCAATAAACCTTAGTATAGCTCCTTGAAGGCTTTTGTATAACACTACAAATGCTGATTTGATATCAACCTTATGACTTTTCTCAGTGAAATGTCTTAAAAAGTATATGTGTGATCAGACTGTTCGAAATATATTGCGTAAATATATTACATAATTCTGATAAACTACGTCTTCTCATTGCATTATCGAAATTTATCAAAGGGACTGTTTTAACTTGATAAATATGTTTTAGGATGGATATATTTGTTTACTGTCTCTTTTAAGAAGAAAAACGTGATTTATTACTAATTGTATTAACTAGTAGAAATGTAATTGAATCAACGCTTCAACAACTATTTGATAATCATTATCGTATGAGTGATTTTTTCAATCATCTGAAAGCCATCAGATTTTTAAAATAAAACTGTTTGGCTTACTATTGATTAGATTTAGACAAGAGTTACAATATGAGTGTTATTATTTCTTCTATGTGGTTAAGCCACTTTCATAATGCTTCAATAAACAACATGTGTCAGAATGAAGTCTATTCCAATATGCGCTTCAGTGAACAATACAAAAATGGTGTATTTCAAGGTATTAGTTATCAGTTAGTGAAGTGATAAACACGTATTTATTCCTTGCTCATTGTAGTTTAATACATGTTCTACAATAGAAACTATATGCAACTTTGATTATTATCATCACTTAACTTAAGTAATAAACAAAACAACTAATTTTGAAGATATTACTAAATAAAAAACCCGAAAAATTAAAATAAAATAATCATCAAAAAGATTGTATCCATAATTTCATGTGGATCATGGACAAGAAATATGGTTTTGAGAGAGCTTAATAAACTACTAAGAAATTTCGGTTAATTCTTAGCCAATCACAAGACAGTTTATATATGATATGGGAAACTCATGGAAAAGTATAATAATAATAATAAGAAGAAGAAATAGAAGAAGAACAAGCTTTACCACTAGTCCATTAGACCGATATTCAACGGTGGTAATATCTATCTTCAACAAATCCGCGAAGTTGCGCCACCGTTCACTATTGTCTTCAGTAAGTTACTAGCTCACAGCTGACCCGGTTGAATTCCATTGATCATTGCTTCTCACTAGAACTCCAGGAATTCTATCTTGAAGCCAGTCACCAGTGAGCATATGACGATTATAATCAGAGAGGGATTTTGTGGGTATTATAGTAAGTTAATTGTTGAATTCATGAGTTAATGAAAACTAGACCATCATGGAAAAAATGAACGGCCGTTTATCCTATTGTGGGATTTCTAAGCAGTGTGCATTCACTTGACACTAACACCATTGGATACCGGCCTAGTGGTCTAGTGGTTAAACGCTCGCGCGTGAAACTGATAGTTTCTTTGTTCGAATCTCGCTAGGTGTGATTGTGGATGCACTCTGCTGTGGAGACCCACAATAGGACGTAACTGCTTTCAGGTCTAGCTTCAAGTGACTCATGATTTTAACTATTAAAATTACTATAATATCCACAAAACCCCTTTCTGATAACAAACTTTACATCCTCAATAAATACATTAATTTTCAATTCACTATACATGATATCTCAATTTTACACGTCAATATTCAAAGTCATTTTCTTATGTTTACACACACACACACACACCTTTCCGTTTCTTCCTTACTCTCCATTTTTTTCTTTTCTTTTCTCTAATTAATTATCTTTTGATATACTTCTTTCTTTTTTGTTTCTCTTCATAGAAATGAAATCTTTCTAATATTTCCATTTTTCAATCAATAAAATCAAATGAGAAATACTGAAAAATCAGAAAATTTATGGTGTTTTTCATTTATTCATTATTTAATGAATAAATATTTCAATTATAAAACTATGCAATCACATGAGCAATATATTACTTTAAAGCATAATAATAGTAGTAATTTACAATATAGAAGACAATCATTCAATGAAAATGTAGAAAAATCAAAAAATGTATTAAAAAAATCAACTACAATGTTACTAACCAATAATACTACTACTAATAATAATCAAATGAATATCAATACAATCTTTCATTGTAATGCGTTAGCAACAAACAATAGTTCACAAACATATAAATCAATTAAAAATCAATTAAATTCCACACCTATATGGAAATGTCCACATTGTTTTACTGAAATTCAATTAATCAATATACAAACTACACCAGATATTATTATTCAATCGAATCGATTATATCATAAAAAAATTCGTACAAATCCATGGATAAATAATTCTAAATATAATATACCTATTACATCTTATTCATATTCTAGTTCATTAACCGATAGTGGTATTTATTTATGTACAGATAATAATAATAATAAGAAAATAATAATAATTCACATTATGATTATATAACTCGATCAACTACTGAAACGGATATAAATAAAAATAGTTATTTTAATGTTAAAAAAAATGATATTCCTATTATACCTATATCACCAGATCCTCCACCATCACCAGCTCCAAAATGTACACAATGTATTATTAATCCAGAATGTTTAAAGCATACTAATGAAAATCAAGACTTATTCATGAATTCTAATAAATCATATAAAGGATTTTGTAAATCAGCAACATTAGATTTATCTAATTTAATGAATGATACTAATAAATCAATAAATAAACCAAAAAGGAAATTATTAACTAAAAGAATAAGAAATCAAATGAGAAAATCATGGTTACAAACGAATACAAGATCAACATTACTTCCATATTTATCATCATCTATACATTTGAACTCATCTTCATCATCATCGTCTACTTCTTCATCATCATCATCATCATTGTGTAAATCTGCATCATCTGAACATAAAATTATTCATTCAGCAGATGAAAAAAGTTCTTCTTATAAAAATAATAAAACTATAAGTATAAATGATAAACACAATTTATTAAATCAACAATCAGATATATATGATGATATTTACAATACTACTTATATTTCTAATTCACAATCTATTATAGACAATGAATTGAATCAATCAATGATAAACTCTTTCATTGAAAATATGTCACCAGAATTGTTTAAATCAATGAATTTAAACAATGATCTAAATTTCTCAACCGTTTATAATGATAATAATAATAATGGTGACAAAGAAGAAGACAATTTCTATGATGATATTCAATTGGAAAATTTACGAACGAATTTAAAAATCCTTTCTGAAGCTAAAAATGTAATCAATATGCAAATGAGAAATTTAGGTCAAAATTATATTAACTATTTAAAGAGTAAATATTTAATGAATACAGTGAAAGATCAATAAGTTATAGAGGGGGGGGGAATTATTGAAAGTTGGAAATTGATTAGAAAATAGAATTTTTGAAAAGAGAATATTTTTTTTAAAAAAATTGTATATAATGTAGTGTAAATTAATGCAATCAAGAGAGAAAGAGAGAGAGAGGGGGGTGGTGGTAGGTGGTTACCGGAGGGAATTATTTTATATCTAATTTCCATGGAAATAATGAAAAATGATTAAATTAATGATTTAATCAGTTATGATTTATTGTACATTGTCTATAAATTATAATTTATAAATGTAAAAGAAGAAATGTCAAGTATGAAATTAATTTTATTTCTATACATGAAATAGATTGATCTTACAATTAATGAAGAACAAAAGATTTTTGTGTACACAATGTAAAAGTGATAATATGAATTATGTATAATGCTAACTATGAATATAAAAATCTATTTACATACAATGGAGTTATTTATTTGACTTTATATTGGATGGCTTCAAGTATATCATTGCAGAATGTAGAACTTCATATTTCACACTCGCCAGCAAGGTGTACCTGTAATAATGAGGGAACTGGTGCTCCCTGGCAGATTCGATCTTGTGTCACCCAGCTTCACAGTCAGAGACGTTACCACTGAGCTATCCGAGTCGTGACCGACCACCTATAGGACTGAGATGTAATCACAATTGATTGATCACTAGGTGGCGACCAATGTCATGTGCGGCTCGAATAGCTCAGTGGTAACGTCTCTGACTGTGAAGCTGGGTGACACGAGATCGAATCCGCCAGCAAGCACGAGTTCCCTCAAGATTACAGGTACACCTTGCTGACGAGTGACAAGTAGCACGAAACCCGAGTACAGGGTTTCCTGTCGACTACCTCTAACCACCATCTAAATCTCATTATGTAGTGCCCACAGTGTCGAGTCACCTAGACTGGTGGCCATATTGCAACACGATCGATAGCATTTGATCTGTACTAATAAGGACTAAACACGCATGACATTGATCGCCACCCAGTGATCAATCAATTGTGACTTCATATTTCATTTTCTTCATATATATATATATATATATATATATATATATATATATATATATTGACAAGAAGTTGATAATGTAAGCATAGTATATTTCACATATACTTAAGTAGTGTTAACCATACATTTCAGTGTATTTGGCAAGTAAAACCTGAGATTTTATGATAACCATTGATTCAGTAGGCTATATATGTAGATAAATGGATAATAACATACTGCGTTTAATGGGAACCAATGTTAACTCAAAGTAGACAATATTATATTGACGTTATCACTATCAGACCCCGTTCATATCAAATCATGCTTGATAGCTTTCTAATAAACAATGAATTTTCATTTCACTTGGTATTGTTTTACTTGAATCTTCCTATTGATGTCTTAGGACTGAAATTGATCAGTCTCTTATTGGCATATGTGCATACTGTGCGTATGCCTCGATATTGCCTTAATTTACAAGCATTATAAGCAAAGAGTCCCAGAGTGAACGTCAACTCTGAGATGCAGGTACATCCAGCTGACGAGTCCCAAACAGGACGAAACGCGCGTCCTGTATTACACTGTTAGCAACCACCCATCTTTGCTTATAATGGATTTCATTTATTTGAATTATTTAACGACAATTTACATGCTTATTGTAATTTCGAAAAGTTTGATACAAATGAAAAAAACGAACAAAATAAATCAATTAAATTCATAATTAATTTGAATAAACGTTTAAAAATGACCATTCACAACCCAACTAGAAATCGAACTCAAGAGCTTTAAGTCTTTTGGAGTGAGTTTAAGGTTCAGACAATAATTTGACATCAAAAAGCTTGTTTTAGTTAATTATGCAATTCTGATCCATTATCATTAATGGTACTTATCTTACCTCAAATATATCATTCAACTGAACTCAGTCTATGAATTTATCAACAAGTTGTTAGATCTTACTGCCATTCCTGAAATCAAATATCCGATTTTGATTCATGTGTGGGACAAATGCATTCTACTGTGAATATTCAAACTCAAATCAATTTCTTCAAATCGGTTAATAAAAACATGTGCTAATCAAACAATATTCCGTAAACTACCTAGTTCTAACTATGTATATAAAACTATAACGAGAGATCAACAGATACAAATAGATAGGAATAGTATTCATTTGAAATTCATACATCCCACTAAATGTGTATGATTCCATAAAATAGTTGATTGTGTAAATTGATGCTACTTCGAATGTCCTAAACTGAAAGTTTATAGCTATTTATGGATTCATCTATTTATTTGTTAGTTCTTGTATTTATTATCTTCTACAAAAGTTCAAGTATACTTTTATATAAAGTACAAAATATTCAGGTAATCAAGTGTTTAATACGAATAACTGTTATTTTGATTTCAGTGTGATTTAATTTATAGTAAACTGTTTTCATAAGATCGATGAAATTATGGTTACGTTTTTTTGTAGTAGTTTAATAGTTGAATTCCTGAGTTAATTAAAGCTAGACCACCATGGAAAACTTATAAGCACTGGACAACCCTCTCGTCCAACTGTAAGACTCTTCAGCAGTGCGCATCCACGAATACACCCTGAGGAATCCGAACCCAGGACCTATCAGTCCCACCAACGAACGCTTAACCACTACACCACTGAGCCGTCCAGCATCCAACCGGAGTGAATGTCTAACTTCAACCACTGTACAAAATTGCACCACCGTTCACCGTTGTGGTCCTGCGAGCAGGATCATGGATGCCCACTGCTGAAGAGCTCCATTCTATGACGACACGGCCATCCAGTACTTATAGGTTTTCCATCGTGGTCTAGTTTTAATTGACTCAATTCAACTATTAAATAACCATATTATATGTCTGTTTTTCATATAAGTAGGCACCAATTAATAAGTAGTAATAACAGAAACAATTGAGTAGAAAAATGTTACTAGAAGCAAATTGCATGAACAAGCAACTTTTGAATCTGGACTAAATATAGCAAATTAATTATGTTAAAATATTACCACATAAAATTTAAAAAAAACAATGTCTAAAATACCGTTGATTAAACAATATCCCAAAAATTATTCTATTAAGTCTAACGCTATCCTTGGACTTGAGATGGTGTCATTTCATCATTCGTCAATGTTTATTTCACCTGTCATTTTCCTACTGGTCAATATTGTACAATGTTATTTTCTATTTTATGGTACGATGTGGTCTGCTTGATTAGTATATAAACAGTGTGTGTTTGAAATATAATGATTCATATCTCAGAGGCTAAGACTTGCGTTCTGGACTCAACTGGCTGGGCTGGACAGGGAAGCAAGGGGCAATCAGAGCTCTAGGTCGTTCATTACGTGTTTTATTTGTCATTGAGATCGGTCAAATAAAACGCTGCGCATCTAACCTGCAGTCCACACGTTACAACACAGACATCATTTACAGTCAATCCATTTTTATATTGCTTGTTTGAATCGTCCCATTGAAGTTTACGAATGTTATTGATTAGTTTCTTATTGGCACCTGGTAGTGAATACCAACTCCGAGATTCAACCACATGGATTCGACATATTCTAAGTGGGACAAAACTCACGTTCTTGATTCCATTGTTAACTGCCATCGATCTTTGCTTATCATTTACATTTTTTTCAACGAGACTATTCAGTTGTAAATGTCTTATTATACACAATAGGTGCTTATGAGTTCTTGTGGATTTATTGGTGTAAAATAATATTTCTTTGACGAAAAGAAATAGAAAACATCATTATAAGTTAATAATAAGAAACGCATTACAGATATAAATTGACGCATATCTGTATGGTTAATAAGAAATTGAACAGTTACTTAATTATCAGATGGGGCTTTGTGGAGATTTTAGTAATTTCAATAGTTGAAATCATGAGTCAATTGAAGCTAGACCACCATAGAAAACCTGGAAGCACTGGACGGCCGTTTTGTCTTATTGTTGGACCCCTCAGCAGTGCGCATCCATGATCACGCCCCCGCGAAATTCGAAACGGCCGTCGAGTGCTTCCAGGTTTTCCATGGTGTTCTAGCTTCAATCGATTCATGATTTCAACCATTGAAATTACCTTATTACCGAAGATCTTAGATCTTATTGATATAAATGTAGTTTTAAAATTCTAGAAAGTTAGAAAGACTGTAAAAAAAGAAAAAAAAACAAACATTTTTATGCAATTGTCACCGTTCCCATAGATGTTAATTTTCGTCGAATATATAAAAGGAACAAAAAATGCTTCAGAAGTAAATTCACTTTATATTTCAGACATTTTTATTCCGTTTTTTTTACACAAGCAAAACTATTCAGATATAAGTGAATACATAGTAATTATGCTTTTAATGAAAGGCTTTTAAATGTAATTACTTATTTAAGTTATCACGTCCCATTAAGCCAAGAAAATCAGATTTGCCAAAAATGCATAAGTTGGTATCAAAAGAACAAGAAAACATTCGCAGAAAATTCGAAAATTTTAATTGTTGTAACCACAATTGATTCATCTTTAGGTGGTGATCAATGTCATATGTGTCAGGTCCTTCTTAATGTAGATCGATTGCTTTCGACCACCCTGTTGAGGAGTTTCAAATAGCACAAGACCCATTGTCCAGGTTTTCCTCTTGACTACCTCCAACCACCATCTTAATTGTTGGAATGACAGACCATGATTTGTTTTTTTCGTTTTTGCTATTACTGGAATTTATCTTTGTTCAATCTTGTTATATCATCTTTTTGTAAATTTTAATAGTAGAGACCATGAGTCAACTGAAGCTAAACCACCATGAAAAACCTGGAAAGACTGATGGCTGTTTCCTTCTACTGTGGGACGTCCAGTGCTTCCAGGCTTTTTATGGTGGTTTAACTTTAATTGACTCATGATCTCAACTATTAGAATTACCGTAATGTCCACAAAACCCCTTCTGATATTTCATGTAAATGATATAAATCTGCACTAACATTATCTCAACTTGACTTGAACAATATTTTCTAATGTC